TATTTTTATATAATTATATATATAATATTTTTTCCTGGGACATTATTGTAAATACTATGTTATATATGTATATTTCTAATTTATAATAATTATATATTATTGTATATTATGTGTAAATACTACGTATTGTAATTACTATGTATTGTTATTGTAATTTATGACATTGATGAATAATAATTATAAATAATATTAATTATTGTAATCGAATGCGTTCGATAAGACGGAATATATTTGATAAACATTCGTTTTGAGAAGTCTTTAAAAAAATTTTTCTATACCAAAAAATTGTTAATAAATTCGGTACTTTATTCAAAATTCCGTATTAATAGTTATAGTTTTTGTAGTATGTTTATTATAAGACATAATTACATTTGTTTAAACCATGATTATGATATGTATTTACAATATTTGTCCGCTTTATTTCATATTTTATCTCGCTCTTACGATGAAAAAGCGACGTATTCAAAAAGTAATTAAATGTTTATTAAACAAATTCTTAAATTTTGTTCTATATGAAATATGTTAAATCGGTTAAAAATTATGAAAACATCATTATTTCACGTTTATAGATGCAATTGCTGTCTCGATAGTGCAGCTTTATTGCTGTCTCTTGCGTCAAATGGACATTAGTAAATTTCGTGGTTTGTACTGACAAAAAGTCGTAGTGATTTTTAACGTGGCAAGACACTTTTCGTTATTTTCCGTGGGACTTATCTGAAACTTCTAGTTCAGTGCCCCGATGATTCTGAAGATTTCCGTTACAGGGTTAAAATTAATCTTGGTTTTTTTTTTTACAATCCTCGGAATTGTGATTTTAGCAAGTTGAGAACAGTAATAACGTAGTTAATTAATGTTTTTTATCGCGTTTAAATCGTTTTTGAATCGCGAAATCAATTAAATAATTTGTCCTTTTAAGAGAAGAGTTTATTGTTTTTTTTAAATATTCTTCCATTAATTAATATTAATGCTGCTTTGACAATAAAAAGACTTAGCGAATTGAACATGGATAGCATTTGTTATAGAAAAGAATGGATTACATTAAATAAATTAAAATCACCAGTTTGGTCGCTTCTCGCAATTTTTTTTGAGAAAAAAATATGGTTATAAATGAATATATTTTTTTATTTTAATTTTTAGCTTTTTTAAGAAATTTTTTCAGGCGCTGGACATCCTTCTGTTCCAGAATATTAATTAATTTTTACATATTTCAGAACATTAATTAATTTTTAAATATTTTAGGTTGCTTTATATAATAAAATACATACATAGTGTACATATCGTGTATATATTATGTAAGGAATTTTTAGTTCTTATTCACTTGATAAATTTTTTCAAAAAGATTTATATTTATTTGAATAGATTATTATAACGATACAATGAACATAATTAAAAATGTGTGGATACTTAATAAATTCGAGACGAATCGATTGGGTACCCCAATATCAGTAAAACTTTGATAATTTTTAATTATTTAAATGTTACATTTAATATTTAGATAAGCCTATTTAATTATTTGTTGAAATATAACTATATTTGTTGAAATGTTATAGAAAGGTATAAAATAACGTAAATCTTATTTTACTAAATATTTGATTATGAAATTAATTGAAGTCTTATTGTTATCGGTTCGATTCGTCTCGAGCAGTCGGTACCTGAGAAATTTTGTGCTCACACATTTAATAAATTATATTAAAGTATGTATTTTATTATTTCGAAATATAATTATTTGTAACCTTTTCGATGAAAACATTCTATTCATGTTTTTGGTATTGTAATAAAAAAAATGTATTTGATAATGGAAGAATATACCTATTTTCTCGCGCGAATCTTGATCTCATATAAAAAAACTGATGAATATCGATTAAATTATCATCAAAATAAAATAAATTGGAAGTTCCATTATACTTGCATTATGCAAAGATTTGGAAAAAGGTTACGGTTGTTAACTCACTATCGAAATAGCTGCTATCAGGAGTATTCCGGAAATTTGGGGTTTTGTTTTCTCCTACGGTGGAGTCCTTGGTATTCAACGGATCACTTAACTTCCTTTTGCGGCTTAATCTCGTGAAACTCGATAGAAGTAGAGCACAGCTCGTTCTCGAGCATATATATAGATCATTCTTCTCTCTGTCGGATAACTTAACGAGCCACTCGTCTGAGGGACTTGATTTGATTGAATTGTTGTCGGTTATCTTCTATTAAATGCAGTAATAACGCGATTTTTGATAAAGTAAAACTTTGATAAAGTAAAGTAAACGTAGAATTTATACACGCGATTAAATATATTGCTTGATTTGGTAAAATATATTGCTTTGCTTTGATTATATTATTAAAATAGATGCAAATATTTTTTGATATGTGTTATCATGTAGAAAAATAATAATTATACGAGTAATAATAATTAACTTACGTTGCAATGGAATAAAAATTGTGTATACTAGAAATGATGAAATTATTTTATTTGTTGTATATTTTTTTATTTGATCATCGTTATGCATTAAAGCTTTGCTTATTTTTTGCGTGCTATTTTGTTTGAATCTTATGAAAATGTAGTTATTATATTATAAATTTATTAATAACCTTTTGGTTGCTTGTATAAATTAAACAAAGCAAAATAAACTTTGTAATTGCTATTCAATTAATATAAGAAACGTTACGTAATAAGGCACATTTGTCGATCATATCCACATATTTCACATTATATCGACATGTATACAACAAAATTGTGTTATTAGACGCATACCGAACGTTTCGTATGTAATTTTACATGTAAAGAAATTTTACATGTATTCTTATTGCACATTATACTATATTTTCAATTTTATAATGTAATTCTTTTGTATTGTGTATTTATATAATGTAAAAGAAATTGTATATAGAATATATAATGTAAATAACAAAAATGTATCGCGAAATGGGATAATTTTAATCTAGTCGAGATATCATTTACTCAAATTTTGAAAAATGCCTAAGAAAGCAAGTATATTCAAAATTAGGATGTTTTTAAGATTTTTTATGTTTAGATTTGGATATATGCGCATTGTTTGGGCATTGTTAAAATTTGTGTTAGTTATTCCGAGTTTTTAAACTTTATTTTATAGTATAACGTATAAATCCTAAAACATAAATTCTGAATAGATGCAATAAGCCTTGAGAAATTGATCAATCATAGTCGATTGTGAAAAGAATATTCGACTATGATTGGACAATTTTTATAAGAGGCCTACTGTACCTATTGTTTTAGAACTAAAGAAAAGAGGACTGCCGGTCGCAATTGGCGGGGATGATGGAGGGCTTCTACAGAGTTAGTCCGGTTTTATCGGATGAAATTTTAATTTAGATATTACTTTATAAAAGATTTATAAAAGAAATTATAAAATATAGTTTAGATAAAATGCATAACAACCGCAATGATATTCGATAAAAGCAGAATAGTCTTATAAAATGTGATTGAACTATTATGTATTGTATATGTAATTTTATATTAGGTGTTGGAATTAATTCGTAGCGTTTTTAATGAAAGAATGTTATTTATTTCACATGAGCATTAAAAAATACATTAATGAAAGTACTTCCCATCACTTGTAAAACGCTACGAATTAATTCCAACACCTAATATTTTATAGTTTTCCTAGTCTGAAGTATATTTTATTAATTGTTATTATTATACATTGTATTTTGATATCAAATAAATTATATGTAATTATATATAAAATAATGTAATTAATAAAAATGTGAAACAATAGTTGCATTCAGCAGAGAAAGCAGTTTTGCAACTGTAAAATTCTTCAATACAATTGGTTCTTGCTTTTGATTCTTTATGAATCCATAAATGAGTAAATCAATCATATTGAAGAATTTTACAACAGTTGCAATGCTGCTTTCTTTGCTGAACGCCGCCAATGTATCATAAAAGGAGGACCGTCGAAATCGGCGGGGGGGGGGGAGGGCTTCCACAAGATTGATCTGTTTTTATCGAATAAAATTTGAATTTAAATTAATTTAAATTAATTAAAAATATTATTTCATTTGTAAAGGAAATTGTGAAATCTTATAGGATACATAATAATGCACTACAATGATATTCGGTAAATGCGGAGTAGTTTTATAAAGGCTTAACTATTATATATTTGTAATTTTATATTTTACTGAACTATATATTTATAATTTTATTTTTTTAATTATATTAGGTGTTGGAATTAATTCGTAGCGTTTTTTAATGAAAGAATGTTATTTATTTCACATGAGCATTAAAAAATACATTAATGAAAGTACTTCCCATCACTTGTAAAACGCTACGAATTAATTCCAACACCTAATTATAATATTTTTAAATTATAACTTATATTATGTGGAATGCATTGTATTTTGATATAAAAGAAAGTATATTATGATATAAAAGAAATTGTATGAATGAAAAATGTTAAATTAAAAAATGAAAAAGATACGTATCCAAAGTAGGAATGGAAATGCGTTACTTGCGTTACTGTTATTTTTTATAATAATA